CCAAAGGACTCCCTTTAGCATCTCTTGTAAGGTTGGTCTGGTTTTAACAAATTCCCTTAATTTCTGCTTATCTAGAAATGTCCTAATTTCACCATCATATTTGAGGGATAATTTTGCCAGGTATATAATTCTTGGTTGGCAATTTTTCTATTTCAGGGTTTCATATATACCATCCCATTGCCTTCTTGCTTGCATGGTTTCTGCTGAGAAATCAGAGCTTAGTCTTATTGGTTGTCCTTTGTAAGTAACTTTTCATTTTTCCTGTGTTGCTTTCAGGATTCTTTGTCTTTGGTTTTGGTGAGTTTGATGATGATATGTCTTGATGATTTTCTTTTGGGATCTATCTTGTTTGGGGTTCACTGGACTTTCTGAATGGATATATTCTCATCTTTCATCGTATCAGGGAAGTTCTCTTCCAATAAATCTTGGACTTTCTCAGTGGCTTTATTTGTTTCTTCCTATTCTGGAATTCCAATGCACGTAGGTTATTCCTTCTGATGGTATCCCACATGAACCTTAGGCTTTCTTCATTTTGTTTTGATCTTTTTTCTGATTGTTCCCTTTCTAAAGAAGTATTTAGGTATTTGCCTTCAATCTCACTAATTCTGTCTTCCTTTGATTCAATTCTACTCCTTTGCCCATTTAATGAGTTATCTATTTCTGAAAATTTAGTATTAATCTTCTGGATTTCTGTCTGTAGATGTTGTATCATTTCTAATTTTTCATTTATTTTGCCATTTTGTTCTTGTATTGTCTTTCAAAATCGTTCTAGGGTTTTCTCTGTGTTTTCCTTGATTTTTCTCTCAATTCGTTGAAGATACCTAAATATAATTCTTTTGAATTCCTTATCAGGGAGTTCTAATGCTTCGTCTTCCTCAGGGATGTGTTTTGGGTCTGTATCCTGGTCCCTTGTTTCTCCTGCTTTATCTTGTGTCTTTGTGTGGACTGTGATGTTCTGTTGTCTCCAAGACATTGTGATGTTTTTGTGTTTATGTTTAATTGGTGATTGTATGTTGGAGTGATTTGCCCACGATTTTTGTTTTCTTTGTTTGTTATCTACGTTAAGTAGGGTACTGTGCTGTGCTCCTCATTCACTAGTTGGCAGCACTTATACACTCACCACCTGTCTCCTTTCCCGATGTCTGCCTCCCATATGCCCCTGGTGTCCTTGGCAAACAGAGCATATTCTTAAGTCCCTGGAATCTGAATGAGAATGCTGTCACTTTAAAATCTAAAATGGCTGCTGCTTGTGAACATTCAAAATGGCTGTGCCCTCAGGCACTTTCAATATCCAAAATGGCCACTGCATGTAAGCAATCAAAATGGCTGCACCCTCCAGACTGCCGAAAGTCCACAGCTCAGGTTGTCTCCCTCTTTGCTGTTTCCCTTCCTAGTCATAGGCCACCAGCACAGTTGTCACTGCAAGCCCTTGGTGACCACGGCTGATCTTTAGGTCAATTTTCAGGTCCCAACACCACTTGGAAATATTCAGGCTGTTGGTCCTGTCAGAATAGCTGACAGTCCACTGCTCCAACTGTCTCTGTACTCAGTTTTCGTTCAGGTTTTTCCATTAGTTGGTGCCTAATCCACTTCTGTATAGTTCCTTTCAAAGCTCAGGGTTCCAGGATTATCTTCTGTCTCTCTGTCAATTGCTTTCTCTTTTCTTTGTTGAAGAGTGTCTGTGGAGCTTGTCTGCCTATTCTGCCATCTATCTGGAAGTCTGGCCTTTAGTTTTTTGATGTAACTTTTACTATGTAATCCATCACCAATGTTTCTGATGGCACAGAATATAACACTATGTGGAAAAACATGCACATTGGCAATCTGAATGGAATGTTACTCAGAGAAGCTGGATTCTTATCTTCTTCTATTATTTTCTTATGCTGTCTTCTTTTAATGTATGAACACAAGAATGAGTGATATGATAAAAATCTAAGTCAACTGAATCTAAAATAACTCTTAGAATAACCAACAAATTCTGATAAAATAAAGCACAGTTTAATTGGCAGCAGTCTTTCTTTCTTAATGGTTTATTAAAAATGGTGCATCTTGTAACTGGCATTTCCACATCTTTCTCCCATGGACCAGCTGGTGGGTTCGAATTGCCAACCTTTTAGTTAGCAGCTGAGTGTTTAACCAAGGCACTGCTAGAGCTCCTTAAATACAGCAATAATAATGATAATTACAGCTAATTCTTAAGAATGCTTAATAGTGCCAAGCCCAAAATGTTTCACATGTATCATATTTATAAGCAAATTAACGTGTATGTTACATGGTTGTGTTTTTTTTTTCTTCCCCAAACTACATAACCCCCTCATACTTTTCCTCTATGTACTATGTGTGTTATATGCACATAATGTGGGCATGTTGTTTCCATGGGCATGTTACATGTGAAAAATATAGTACTAACATAATTAGTTCTCAGTTACCCTATGAAATAGTTCTGTGATTGTTCCCATTTTATAAGATGAGGAAACTGAGGCACAAGCTAGTTAAGTGACTCAGCCAGGGTTCATGACCATGAATGGTGGTGAAGAGAGTCTCATCTAGGCAGCTCAGGAGCATCTTGGAGGGGACCACTGACCTGAATGCTGGCACTTGATGTGCACTTGCAGCAAAGCTGGTGTGGGGAAGAGCTCCTTACACTTGTCACATTCATGGAACTTTACATCTGTGAAGCATATAAGGAGAGACATTGTGTGAAAGAACAAAAGGAATGGTTCTTAAAAAAAAATAAAAAAAGAAATGGTTCTATTAAGCTGGAGAGTAACAGGGCTGGGAGGCAGGGATGGTGACTAAAAACCCAGCAAGCACCTACCATGTGCCAAGACCCTCATGCCCGTGATCTATTAGCGGAATCCAGTGGGAAAGAGCACCAGATCTGGGTGCAGACTGCCTGGACTCAAACAGGGCTGTTGTGAGGAGCACAGTGACTTGTAATGAGGAAAGGTTCTGTAACTGTTAGCTGTTGATTATCCCCAATTCACCTGCAAGATATGTATTAATAACCCCCATTCTACTCAGTAAAGAAAAGTCACTTGCCAGGGTCATGTAGCTGGTAGGTACTGGAGTCAGAGTTTCCACCCAGGCGTGTATGCCACCAAAGCTGACTCCCTTCCCACTGTACAAGGATTGAGCCTCACTCAGTGACCGGCAGGAGCTTACACTGCTTGAGGTTTCCAGGTTTGAGAACCACTGCCACTCCAACTACTGTTAATGATGGGCTGGTGCTACATCCTTCAGGTGTGCTAGGTAGAACAAAGGTAATTCGAAGCATACCACATGACTGTACTGTAAGTTGGGATTTTGGCACAGAACCCAGGGATGCAGTTTTGGTTACTTCATGTTGCTCTAACAGAAAATACCACAGATGGGTGACTTTAATAAACAGGAGTTTATCCTTTTACAGTTTTGGAGGCTAGAAGTCCAAGTTGAAAGTGCCAGCTCTAGAGGCTGGGTGAAAGCCCCTCAAACTTGGGCTTCAGCTCTGCCTCTTGCTCCCAGCCCACTGAAGCTAGAGGCTTTATTCACTCAGGCAGCTGCTGGCTGCTGAGGCTG